AGATGGTGTCTGTCGCCCAGGCTGGAGTGCAGTGGTGTGATCTCGGCTCACTGCAAGCTCCACCTCCCGGGTTCACGCCATTCTCCTGCCTCAGTCTCCCGAGTAGCTGGGACTACATGTGCCTGCCGCCACGCCCAGTTAATTTTTTGTATTTTTCGTAGAGCCAGGGTTTCACGGTGTTAGCCAGGATGGTCTCGATCTCCTGACCTTGTGATCTGCCCGCCTTGGCCTCCCAAAGTGCTGGGATTACAGGCGTGAGCCACCGCGCCCGGCCCAAATTTTATTTTTAAATAGCCACGCCTGAATGAGAGAGACATACTTCTTCATATGGATCCAGATGCAGATGGAATTTATTGAGAACAATTCTTTCAAGTGTGTGCTTCTGAAACCACAGTGGCTGTTTCTTATTATGTATTATTTCTATCAATAGATAGAGTACAAGTACGGTTAGCAGGGAATGCAGCATCTCATAGTAGAAAGGGGTCCTCCTGCTGACAACACAGTTTATTTTCTGAGCAGTTCACCAGGCCCTTACCCCTCCTAGTCAAATTTTATGGGGCCCAGGGATTTATCATGTACTTAGACCCATCTCTCACCCACCAGATGTGAACACCATGAGGACAAGGGCACTGTCTGCTACCCCATGCTGGGAAGATCCTTTATACATCCTCAGTGGTAAGTAGCCCAGGGCAGGCCCCAGATGAGCAGCCAATGTCCATCACCATTCCCCAGCCCAGAGGGTGGGGGTAGAGATGGGTAAACAGGAGATGAAGGAAGTGGAATTACACAGCCCTTTTCCCACGCTACCCCTCCACCTTGGGCTGGGCCCCGCCCCTACTAAGTAGAGGTCAGGAACTTGCCCTACTTTCACTGAGACTGTCCCCACCCATGGGCCTCCACACCCTTCCCCTGGGGTGGGCAAAAGGAGTGAGCTTCGCCTTCTCCAGCTCAGAAGTGGCCCTGGGAGCTTCCCCTCGGCCCCAGGGTCTATCGCCAGCCCTGACCTGGCCACTTCCTCTTCCTGCTCTGGCAGTGGGCAGGGGGATTTGCACTGTGGGCAGGGAAGCACTGCCTACTGCCCCGGGGGCTTCCCATGGGCAGCTCTGGGAACCAGGGGGGAAGGGTAAGGCCCAGACCCCTGGCTCTGCTCTCCTGGCCCTTGCCCAAGCCCTACCATGAGCACAAGTATCATTATCTCCCCAAAACCAGCCTCCCAGGGACCCAGGTAGGCCTGCACCCCTCCCCTCAGCTCTCAGCAGGGGCCAAAGATGGAAGAGCTTTCAGAGGCATCTTTGTCCAGGAGCTAGCAAGCCTGATGTGTGACCTGAGGCCAGTCCCTTGTCCTCTCCAAGACTGCTTCCTCATCTGCCTAATGCAGACATCACCAGTCCCAGTGCTGGTAGAATTCAGTTCACAATGGAGGGAGAGGTTCAACATCCAAATGTAGCACTGCCTGGGGCCTGGGCTCCCCCACTGTCGTGGGAAACTTGTAATGGCAAGTGAGGGTGGAAGTCGGGAGGCAGGCAGTACCTCCAAGTCACAGGGAAGTGCTACAGGGGGGTGGGTTCCAGGACCCCGACATATACCAAAATCCACGCATACTCAAGTCCCGCACTCGGCCCTGTGGAACTCGTGTCTGCAGTGGGACAACCACAGCGGCCTGCAGCAGAATCCTGGGACTGGCAGGGGCAGGAGATAGCAAGGTCCTCAGCTGGACAGGGGAGCCAGCAGCCCTCCTGCTCCAGGAACTACAAACAGTAACCCCATCTCTACTTCTCCCATTCCTGGGCTGAGTGAGAGGAAATGAGAGTGTGCCCAGCGATGTGGCTCTACCCGGCACTGGGAGAATTCCAGACTCTGTATGCAGCAAGTGGTCAATTAATACTCTGGAGAGAGCCAGTTAATTAAGGAGGTCAGGGTATGGCCACAGAGGCTATCTTCAGTCCAGTGATTTCTCTACCCCTTCCTCCCTCCCTCTCAGGTCAGAAGAAATTAACATACAGCACAAAAGAATAAGATCAGGCTTCAGGAACAACAGCCAGACGGGGCTGGAAAACACTGACAAGATCACGGAGTTCCTTTGGGAAAGGTTGGCCCACGCCTTGAACCTCCCTTGGTTTCCCCCTCAGTCTGTTCAGCTCCTGGCCAGCTCTCTTCTCCTCTCACCTTGGAGGGTCTCCCACCACCTTGCAGAACATCAACACCCACCAAATTCCCTTGCCTCTGTCCAAGGTCTCCACCCAGCCCATGCGGGCAAAATTTCAAATTCCAAAATAAAAACCCTCTGATAACGAGTCCCAGCCGGAAAGACTGATGCACTTTCCTATTGTTAAAGTATTTTTAGTCACAGGCTCTGGATTCGTTTAGAGACTCACGTTCAGAAAGGGGAAAACATTTTTTTGAGAACTGGGAAGGAGAGCACAGGAGCCTCCCACGTAAGGAGCTGCTGCCTGTTCCATGCTGGGCCAGAGTCCCTGGCCCAGGTCCCGGAGCGTGTTTGTGGCAAGCTGGTTGGCAGACTTGCCAGACCTCTCTCCAGCTCTGCTTCTCAGGCACCCAAAGCAGCTGGGAGGCCCGGCAAGGGGGACAGGCCAGGGGCTGAGGGCTCAGCAGGGCACCAAGCCCCTGGCCCAGCCACTCAGTCCCAACTAGTGGGGGCTCAGGGGCCCCCACTCAGAAGCCAATCCTGAGATACCCCAATGGACACCAAACTTGCTGCAGTGACCAGTGCCTCATCCAGATGGGGCGGACAGGAGAGGAAGACGGACCCTGTGGGGAAGCTCTGAGGAAGGAGCTAGACCGCATCACCTGTCTCTGTCCACCTCTCCCAGTTCTCAGTCACAGCGTTCACAAGTCCAACTACCGTCATCCAGCTGTGGTCAAGCTGCACACTCATGCCTCCAACTGTTGGCCACCCTTGCTTCCTCCCCGCAGCCCAAGGCCAAAGGGTTTGGCATGACAGTCGCAATGGGAAAAAATCCAAACAGCCCAGCTCCCATTCCTCAATGTCCCCGTCCCAAGACTCACCAGCTTCCTCCTCACGATCTGCTTTGACCCTGGACAAAGGTCCTGGACAACCGCACGAAGAGAGAAGCCCAAGATTGGTTGGGGGCTCTTTCTGGCAGCCTCAGGGAGCCCTGTGGGGAGAGACGTGCTGCCCAGCCAGCCTATCCTCGCAGCCGAGGCCGGGCAGCAGCTGAGCAGGCTCTGGATGTGGTGCTGCCTCCAAGCCGGCGTGTCCTCCTCTGTTTATATAGCAGAAACCAGAGCCGGCCTCTGGGGATGGGGGGAGCCACTTTGGGCCCTCTTGGCTGGGCCTGACTTTGGCCCAGGTCAGCAAGAGCCCAAAATAGTCAGCTGACGGGAGCCCCGGCATGAGCGTGACCCTGGGCCCGTGCCCGGGCCTGGCAGACAGGTGCCCACGTCACAAGACCAGCAGCTCTAGCACTCATGGGGCCCCGGTTGGCAGCCCCTCAGGGTGGCCTTGGCAGTGTATCTGGCATGGGAGTTCCACCCAATCACCACCATCACCCAGACAACGAGGTAAACACAAGGAATTCTGCCCACCAAGGCTGCTGTGTACCCAGAGGGAGAGCTGGGTGCTTAGGAAGATGGGTCTGGACTGGGGGTGGATGTGGGGGCCGAGTTGAGGGAGGGACACCTGGCCACTGCTGTCATCTACATTCACGTGCCTCCCAAGTCCAGATCTCCAGCTGACCAGAGAACACCTGCCTCTTACAGTAATTCCTCTCCCTGTCTTCGGCCCGAGGTTGGTGGTACAGCGCCTGCTGCCATTGGGAGGCCAGGCACACACCCAGCTCCACCCCTAGAACAGGAGGCCCTGCTTCCCAGGGCTTCCCCCTTCCCTCCAGGCTGGGACCAGACATCCCATCCTCCCCACCCCAGCCACCTCTCCAAGGCTCTCTGCACCCTGAACGCTGACCCCCTGTGAGGCAACAGTGTTTGGGAAGCTGAGGGAGATATTGAGCCAGCGCCTGCTTCATCCGGGATCTCTCAAGGCCTGGGAGGGCTGCTGCTCAGAGATGGCCCTCTTCCAGGGAAGGAGGAAGGGAATCTCATGGCCCCTGTCTGTCTGGGGTGTAAGGCAGAGCTCCAGCTCCTTTAAGAACCAGGACTACAGTGCCCTTGGCCCCATCTCATGTCCCCAGGAAAGGCCTGCTGGAAATCCCATTCCCATCGTCCACCTCTCAGTCCCAGATCAGTGTGGGCCTTCTCTGGAAGCACCCTCAGTCAAGGAAGTTATGTCCTCCACCATCAGACCAGGTGCCAGTGCTTGCCAGCTACCCAGGAGGCATGGTTCTGGGCTTGGCTCTACACATCCTTACTGCAGGACCCCTGGAAAAGTCATTTCTCCCTTCTGTACCTCAGTCTCCTCTTCTGTAAGTGGAGGAGATGTGCTAGATCACAAGTAGTGGAAGGGCTGTCCCTGCCTTCCCATTCACAGAGGCCACCCCCCACACCACAGACTCCACAGGCCCTCAGGCCTGCCGCAGTAAGGAGGGGCAGGCACCGTGCTTTCCATGAGGGAGTGGAGGTCCCGGCCTTCCCTTCATGCACTCACCTGGAGAAGTGTCTACACCCGGGAGACAGGCCAGTTCCCCACTGCCACGTCTGCTCCATGATGCTCCCAGCCCAGTCCCCAGATACCCTATTCCACCCTATCTGCTTCCTGGAACCAGGCACATGCTGCCTTAGGAGCAGCTGTCATCCCCTATTCCTACCAGCCCATGTCACCTGGGCCCAGAGCCCTCCAGCCTATCCTGCCAAGAAAATAAGGCTTCCCCAGTCCCCACACCCACATTACCCCCACCTCTGAAGAAATCAGATCCCCCACACTGAACAGCACCTCGGCTGCCACCTCCGCGGGGTTTCCCCTCCATCCCCCTAACCACATCCGCTTTGGGCAGCTCCACCCCCACCTCTGCCCCCCAACCCCACCTGCTGGAGGGGTGTACAAAAGACAATAACAGAACACTTACCACTCTGGATGGACCAACAGGCCTTGGCCAACCACATTATCCTGTCAGCCATCAGGGCCCAGGAGAAGGCACCAGGCTGCCTGGGAGGGGCAGGGCCTGGCCTCTGTCCATGGTGGAGGCCTACAGAGGGAGAGTCGATGTGAGTGAAGAGAAACCAGCCAGCAAGCACATTCCCTGGAGACAGCATGGCCAGGACACACAGGAATGGGAGCAGTGGCAGGATCCAGGCCGCAAGAGGGGGACAAGCCATCCCAAGGACCTCCCTGGGTTAGGCATCAGAGCCTGGGGGCCCAAGCCCCAGGCAATCTGCTTCCAGGTGTAGGGTGTGGCCAGGAGCTGCTGACAGCATCTGGGGCTTTTCAGAGCCATATAAACACATCAGCATCTAGTCCCTCCACCTCATACCCTTCTCTGACGTGCACAAAAGGGCATGTTGCAGGCACAGGAAGGGAGCTATTGTGAGGATATAGCGGAATACCCCTCTCTCCTTAAGGGGCTCTAGTTTGGCCCCTAAAGCCTCAGAGGCCCCCAAAAGGCAAGGGTTCCACTCAGAGTAGAGTGGATGTGGGATCCCAGACTGTCTGGGTTCAAATCCTAGCTCCGCTGCTTATCACCTTGGGCAAATTACATAATCTCTTTGTACCTCATGCTCCTCATCTGTAAAAATGATGACATCTCTAAAATTAACAATCACAGGGTTATCAGCAGGCTTTTAAAACAGGTTTTTTGTTTTTTTTTTTTTGAGACGGAGTCTCGCTTTGTCGCCCAGGCTGGAGTGCAGTGGCACCATCTTGGCTCACTGCAAGCTCCGCTTCCCGGGTTCACACCATTCTCCTGCCTCAGCCTCCGAGCAGCTGGGACTACAGGCGCCCACCACCTCGCCCGGCTAATTTTTTGTATTTTTAGTAGAGATGGGGTTTCACCGTATTAGCCAGGATGGTCTCAATCTCCTGACCTCGTGATCCGCCCACCTCGGCCTCCCAAAGTGCTGCGATTACAGGCGTGAGCCACTGCGCCCGGCTAAAAAAAGTTAATGTGTAAAAGACTTAGGACAGTGCTAGATACACATATCTGCTACACGTCATTATTAGGAGAAGTTCAATGAGGACACACACATAAAAGCTAGCCACAGACCCTGGTTCCTAGTCCAAGGCACCCTGGGCACCTGGCCTCTCCTTCCAGGGTGGAAGCCAACTATGTGCCTCACCCCACACCCCAGCCTCTTCAGCTCTCCCCTAACCCCGTTCAGCTAGGGTACCTTGACCCACATCTCTCCTTCTCTTCCTCCACCCACTCCAGTGCTCTCTCCTCTCGACTACGCTCCAGAGTGAGGGCAGGACCAGGCCTTCACTGGCTATTGGACTGCCCTTAAGACCGAGATGAGGTCTGGGAAAAGAGAAGGAGATGATGGGAGCTAGGAGGGACAAAGAGGAGGAGGACCCCAGAGGGTGGGCAATGGGCTTCCTCGTCCTCCTGACCTCTGCCCAAGGTCTACAGGCCAAGGGGAGGACCTCTGGCCCACAGTACCCAGGCTCTCCCCTTACGACATTACCAGCACCCCTCCCTCCCGATCCTGTGGGTATGATGGGGAACAGGAAAAGGCCACAGGAGAGAAAGAGGGAAGGGAGGGCAGACTGGAACATCTGGAGCACCTTTAACCCTAAACAGAAAGCAAGACGAGGCTTCCAATCTGTCCCAGCCCATGGACTACACCTGCTTTCCAGGATGACAGTGTCATCCTCCCATCCCCCGGAAACTGGTCTATAATTTCCCCCAGCCTTGTCTTTTCTCCCTACCAGCTCACTGCAGAGAAGGAAGGGTAGGGAGGGCCAAATACCACCTACCATAATCAGGCCCAACCTGAGCACCCAGGTCTTCCCCATCTGGTTCTCAGAACAGGGGCCAGAGTCTGGCACCTGGTGGTGCCCACAAATGATTTTAGCATCTTCAAGCAGGTATCTGTTTCCCTGCCCGCTCCAGATCAAAATGCCCCCCTCAATAGTCACACCACAAGCATTTACTGAGGACCCCCTGGAAGCCAGGCAGTGTGCCCCGAACCACAGGAGAGCCAAGAATGAGCACACCAAGATCCCAGAGCCCCAGGATCTGATAAGGGATGAACCAAGGTCAAGGACAATCTGCACTGGGCAGAGGGCAAACCAAAGGCTGAGTGGGCTTGGCGGAGAAAGTGACCCCCAAAATGGGGTGGACCATCAGGCCAGATTTCAGTCCCCAGTTCCTGCTCCCCACCAACCTCATTTCCCAGCCACTCACTGTGGTCCCGTCACATGGGCCTTCTCTCCCTACTCAGGGCCTCTGCATCCACCGTTCCCTCTGCCCAGAACTGGCTCTTCCTGATCAACGAGGTTTCCATTCCCATGTCACCTCCCTGAACAGCTTGCACCCCCACCCCACCACACTAGCCTGATTTTTATTCATCAGAGGTCTAATGTTCACATCTGTTCACTGGTTTATTACCTGTCTATCCAACCAGAATGTAAGGATGCTGTCCATCTCAATCACTGCAGAATCTGCAGTCTCTCAACTCTGCTCAGCACTGGCAGGTGCTCAGTAAGCGTGCGTGGAAAGGTGGGGGGTGCACATGCCTGCATTGGAGCTGTGCTGGGAGGAAGGTCAGCTAGGTGGGGACAGCATTCCAGCTCAAGAGCTGTCCCTTCCATTTGGGGGCAGATCCAAGAGCCAGAGCGTTCTTCCTTATGTTGAATCACATCCCTGACTCTAAAAGTCCCTGGATCCCAGCTCTGTCCCCTGCACTGGCCCACAGGAAGCCTCATTCTAGTCCTTCCTAGCAAGTATTTTAGTCTTTTCTTAACTAAACTGCCCCTTGCAACAGGACACCGCTGACAGGCCCTCTGCCTGACAGGCCCTGGTGGCCTCCTGAGTACAAGCTCTACATTGGCCAATATCCCTACCCAGAAATGGGAATATTACTACTATTAGCAATAACAACAGCTGCTAATATTTGTTAAACAACATGTGCCAGATACATTAAGCACTTTACATGCATTTTCTCATTTCAGCCTCACAATGCTATGAAGAAGGGATTATTATTATAAACATTTTACCAATGAGGAAACTAAGGCCCAGAAAGAAATGTTAAGCAACTTGCCGAAGGTCACACAGCTAGGAATTGGCAAAACTGAGATTAGAACCCAGGGAGCCCAACCAAGGAGTCCAGAATCAGGCATTCTTGCTCCCCCTACCGCCCACTTGGACCTGTGTAGTGGATGGAGGCTTCACACTGCACAGAGCAGTCCCACAGCCTCCGTCCAGGGAACAGCTCAGAAGCTAAGGGCCTGGGTTCCTGGGCCTTTGAGCCAGGCACAGGCCTGAACTCCTCAGCTGACTTTCTTAAGTCCAGCAGAGGCCTCAGCACAGGCCTCGTCAGTCACATTCACATTGTTAATCTCGGCCCATCCTTCTGCCCAGTTGCCTTCAATTAGAATCTTGATTTTATACTGTGCACTTGTCATTCCTCACAGCTCTGCATGACTACAAGGAGTCGGCTGACTTCCTTTTTAAGTCTTCATCCAAGTCACTGATCTTAAGCGTTCACTTGGAGTAGGTCTAGGAGCAAGTCTTGTAGCCCCACCACTAGGGCTCCAGGCCAGGCTGACAACAGCCCCCAAATCCATCAGCACCCACTGGGCATAACTGTTGTGAAACCGACCTCTGCTCAGCCTGCGTTTTTCCAATGTGCCGCTAATACTAGCCCCACATCCAAATTAACAATTCACTGTAAACCACTTCTGTAGCATTTCCCCTATCCACCAAGTCATCTATCAAAAACGAAGGCATAAAAACGATATGAGCCTGCCAGGCGCGGTGGCTCACGCCTGTAATCTCAGCACTTTGGGAGGCCGAGGCGGGCGGATCACAAGGTCAGCAGTTCGAGTCCAGTCTAGCCAATATGGTGAAACCCTGTCTCTACTAAAAATACAAAAATTAGCCAGGCGTGGTGGCGGGCGCCTGTAGTCCCAGCTACTGGGGAGGCTGAGGCAGGAGACTCACTTGAACCCGGGAGATGGAGGTTGCAGTGAGCCGAGATCACGCCACTGCACTCCAGCCTGGGCAACAGAGCGAGACTTCATTTCAAAAAAAAAGGGGGGAGGGTAGGTTGTGGAGGGGAATGAGCCAAGTCAGGGAACTGTGTCCTGTCCTCAACACAGACCACCATGGTAAGGAGGTCTGGAAATACCGCGCCCCCACCCCTCCCAATACAAGGAGGGAAGATGTTGCGGCAAAAAAACAAAACGACAATCAAAAAAACACGCCTGGGAGACACAAGCCCCAAGTCCTAATCCCCAGCTCCGCCTGATTCCACGAGACCCCCAGCCTTGGTTTCTTGACTCAGTCCCGTGAAGGGGTTGCATCGCGCAGCATCCGTCCCTCCCGGCTGGGTCTCCTAGTAGACTCCTGGAAGCTCCCGCGCTCCTGGAACCGGTTCCCGCAGCCGGCGGGGAAATGGAAGGAATTTCTCTGGCCTGGCCACCTCCAGCGCCCCTCGTGGGCCAAACCCCACCCTTGGCGGGCTGGGGAGAGAAAGCCTTGGCCGTCGCCCTTGGGGGCTGACTCTGAGCCAGCAAGTTCCGCTGGGAATCCAGTCCCTCCCCCGACTCCCCAGTTTCCAAGCGGGACTCCGGCGTGGCCCTGAGCCCGCCCCAAGGCATCCACCAAAGACCCGAGATTGCCCGGCCTTTCCGGGGCCCACTTCCCGCCACACCGGCGGCCCCTCACCTGGCCCCGCGGGCTCCTCTAGCCTCTCCACTCCTGCTTTCCGGGGTCGCGCACCAGCAGGCCCTGAGCTGCTCTGCGCCGCAGGGGCGCCCATGCCTGGAGGCCGGGGGTCGCGGGCGCCGCGCTGGGACCCCGCCAGTTCCGCCGCCGCCGCCGCCTACGCTCTGCAGCCGCGCGCCGCCGCTCGGCTGCCCCGCCCCGGAAGCCACCCGCCCGCGTTCGGCCTCGCCGCGCCCCAGCCCCGGCTCACGGACCGCCCGCGCGCTGTCCCAGCCCCGGCGCGCCTCCCCCGGCGGGCGGGGCGGGGACCGTGACGCGTGCCCATTGACGTCTCCGGAATCCCGGCGGCGGCGGCCGACGCAGCCTCATCAATGGGGCTAAAAATAGCAGCGCCCGGAATAGCCGCGAGCGCCCCGCCCCGCGGCTCCCCCTACGCCGCACACCCGGTTACATAACCCGCGGCCAGAGCCGGGGAGCTGGTTCTCAGGTGAGGGTGCCGAGGCCTCGCTCACACCTCCCGAGGCGGCGCACCTGGGGCTAGGTTATAAATAAACTTACCCGGGGCTTCCCCAGGAAGAGGTGGAAAGAGAGAGGCCCAGAGAGACTCGGTGGCGGCCGAAAGTCACACAGCGATTCGGCTGCTGGCGAAGGCAGGGCCTGGCCTTTTGAGTCTGCGGGCGCCCTGCCTGCATCGCTTGGCATTCATGCCATCCCAAGGGCAAGGAACCCAGGTAGTAGAGTACCCAGCTTCCACACGAGAAGGCAGCTTACAGAAAAATAGGACTTCCTCCTGAAGAGGGCACTGCTCGAGGTGGTGATGCAGGCCCGGCAAAGCCCAGATGATGGATTCACTGATCTGGCTGCTCCCATACCACTGTGTGACCTAGGGCAGTCACTTGACCTCTCTGAACCTCAGCTTCATCATCTCTAAAACAAAGATGATATGATCAGATTATCCACCCTATGTGGCTGTCAGGATAACAGCTGTGGAGGTGCCTTGTACACAGTAGACCCTGAGGGTTAGTTCTCCCTGCTCTCCCCAATCCACAGGAGTGTTTAATGCACTCAGAGACCCACCACCGTGGCCAGGAAGCCCTGGAAGGCCCACCCTCCTCTGACCGGAGTCTCCAGGCCCAGGCTTCCACGGTAAGAATCTTCCTGGGGGTGCAGGCACTTGGAAGGCTTCTCTCTCCCATGTGACTGGAGCCCTCTTTGGAAATGGGAGAATCATCCTGTCCTGAGCAAATCCTTCTCCCCCATCAGCTGCCCACTCAGGAAAGGCTGGTCAGGAAGGCCAGCTCAAGGCTGGAGCAATGGTGTTGGGGCTGGCTGGGTGGGTGGGGTTTGGGGTTACCATCTCTGTTCCTATACCTCCATACAGGCAAGGTCATTGGGGAACACCCATTAGGGAGGATGCAGTCATGTGCTCTGCTGTGCCAGCCACTAGTCCCTGCTTCCTTTGGGAGCCACCTTAAATTATGAGCATGCTATACAATCTCCAGCACCCAGGCCAGGCCCCACGCAGCAAAGAATCTCTTCTGTGCTCAAAATTCTCCAAAAGAGGCCCCACACCTCCACTCAGCCCTCATTCCAGGGGCTGCATTCCTCTCTCCACCCCGCTGCCCACCCCCAGAAATCCTTTGCTGGACCAATCCTAAACTCTTGGCGCAACTCGGAATTCCCTTTCTCTCATTCTTCATAATGATCCCAAGAACCTCTGGTTTGTCTCAAAATCACCTCCCAAGAACCTGTACATTTCTCTCCCAGGTTCAAGTAGTAGGTCAATTTACAGATAAAGAAACTGAGGCTTCAAAAATGGCAAGGTGTCAGGGTGGGGGAAAGGGACAGGCTTTTCCTCACTCACCCTGTGTCCTCCTCTCTCCTACCCCAGCAGCTCCTTTCCGATGGGCTTCTTAGAGGAGCAGCTACCCCACCCCCTCTTTTCCCTTCTTTTTCCAGAAGTCTAACTTTTGAAATACATTTTAAAATATTTGCCTGTGTGGGAGAAATACATTTATTTAGACAGGAAGGGAAAAAAGGGCTCAGTTACCAGTTTTTCCATGAAGGCTTCCAGCCCACAGAGGTCTCTCCTTTCCATAAATACTTTCAGCATAACTTGTCTTTATTATATATTCTCCTATTTATAATCAAATAAAACATATTCTAAAATGTGGAATGCCAGAACACGCACACTTAGAGTGGCATGTGGAGGCGGCGTGAGATGGTGGAAGAAGCAGTCTCTAGAGGTCTGGGATGGACACTGGTTGTCAGAGGACTGAACAGCTGTGGAGGTGCCTCATACACAGCAGGCACTCAGAGTTAGTTCTCCTCCCTGCTCTGCCCTAGGAATCTGACTTCCCACAAGAGGCTCTATCTCTTAGCAGCTGTGTGACTTCAGGGAAGTTACTTGCCCTCTCTGGGCTTCAGTTTTCTCACCTCAAATACAAAGATAAGAAACCTATCTCACAGGGTTGCCATGAGAGTGTCTCTTTGATGGCAGACACAAAGCATGAAGTAGAGTCTGGCACATCGTGGCAGATCTACCATTTCCATACAGGAGGACTTGGAGGACTTGGGACCTTGTCTTAAAGCTGTACATCCAAGGTGCTTACCCTAGCTTTGCTCAGCTGGTATGTTTATTGGGAATACTGGGGGTCTTGGGGGTTGCACAGATAGGAGCAATGTCACCTCTTAGTCATTACAAGTGTCCAGTAAACATCAGCCCCATTGTTGTCTCCCTGATCCAGGTCACTTGGCTAATGAGTGGCCCAGCCAGAACCATAGCCCTGGTCTTCTGTCTCCATAGCCCAGGTCTTCTGACTCCCAGGCCAGTGCTCTTTCTACCCAGCCTCTTGTTCCTTCATATCTGATTCCTCTTTTTTCTACAGGCACTGCTTCACAGCCCCTATGGCAGATAGGAAAGGTGAGGAGAGAAAAGGTGAACAGCGTGCATGGCCCAGGGAGTTGGAGCAGAGGGGAGACAGGCCCCATGGCCAGTGACGCCCCACATTGTGGGAGGTTCCTAGAGGACAAGCTCCTATGCAGAAAGCTGACTCCTAGTCTGATGGGGAGGCAGGACACAAGAATAGGTATGGAAACATTGCCAGGACATCCAAGAAGTGGCCTCCAAGAAGCCTTGAGCTGGCATTGGAGTGGAATCTAGAGGACTAATCTCAGAGGCCTCCCTGGAGGAAGAGAATGTAGGGCCCAGTGTGAAAGAAGAGACAGGACCAGGCAGGGTATAGGGAAAAGGCACTCCATGGAGGACAGAGGCTGCCCCCAAAGCTTAGGTATGCAGCAGGGCAGGGCTGAGATCCTGAGGGTGGGAAACAGTGGGCCAAGGTGAGTCACAGGATGCAGGACCATCAGCCAGACTCTCAGTGGCCCTCCCCAGGTGCCCTTCCATCTCACAGCATCTGAAATCCCACCCCACCTAGGAGACACCCTTGCCCTCTGAGGCGGGGGTAAAAGGATGTCCCTAGGGCATTTAGACCAAGAAGGGGCTCCCCTGCTCAGGTCCTAGCCCTGAATAAGGAGAGGGGCTATGGAAGGGATTCCCTTCATGGTTTCCTTCCTCTTCTTGAGGATCAAGAACTACCTGGCCGGGGTCCTCCGACCTCTCCCCATGCTTAAGAGCAATTCAAGGGCCAAAAAAATAGACATAGAAACGTGTTTTCCTGGGGCTGTCTCAGGGTTCAAGGGCTGTCCAGACACCGCCCAGATGGGGTTACACTCTCCAGACTGCATAAGGACGAGGAGACCCCACTTTGTGTTTTCGAAGCACTGCCACATTTGCTCTACTTAGTTGCCATGGAAGGCGTCAGGGCCCCAAAAGAAGGTGGCAGAGGTCTCCAGACCGGAAATGGCAGAGCTAGAATTAATGCGAGATTTCCCCTAATCGACGCCAGGGCTCTTAAAAATCCTCTGCAATTTTATTTGTTAAATTACAAAATCAAACATGCTCGTGGTAAACAAATGTGAGCGTTTCGACCCTGAGTGATTTACGAAGTGAGAGGCCCGTAATCGCACTCCCAGAGGAGCGAGGATTTGGTCATCCTCCGACGCTGGCTTCCATATTTCTCTCTGCATCGCCAGAGATGGGATCTGGCCCGACGGATCCTCCCTGAGGGGCCCGCGACCGGAACGCCGGGCCGGAAGGAACAGGGCCGAGCCCCCGCTGCGCTCCCGGGGGCGGCCGCGCTGCGCTGCGCTGCGCCAGGCCCGGCTGGGCGGGGTGGGGCCGGGGAAGCCGCTACGTCACTAGCCAGTCCGGAGGGAGCCGCAGCAGGTCCAGCCAGGATTCCATTACCTCACCCGGCAGCGCGGAGCTGCGGCTCGGTCAACACCCCTGCACACCATTGGCTACCATGCCGCCCTTCCGGCCAATAGCACGGGCGCATGCAAATGACCCATTGAGCCGACGCTTCCTTCGGGTCCGTTGTAGGCAAATAGACGTCATTGGAAGGATGGGGAAAATGAGTTAAGAAGGGTCCTGAAATCTGTAGGGTGCTGCTTTGGGGGCTTGCTATCCCAAATCTATTCCAACCTGTCCTGAGGAAAATGGAATATAATTAAGGGTGAGCCCCCTTAATTCTTGAGCTGTCTTTCCAGATACACCTCGCTGCTTAGAGATTCAGTGAACCTAAGAAAAGGTGCAAAAACTATTTAGGTCAACTTGGAGAGCAGGGGAAGGAAGAAATAAGAAATAAAGAGGTACGGAAAGCTGGAACATACTTCGGAGAAACACCTAGGCCAGCCCTCTCACTGGAAACACAGCACAGAACAAAACAGACACAGCTCCTGTCCCCGGGCTGACAGCCAAGTAGGAGAGATGAATGTTCAACAATCTTGCACATAAGTAATAAGTGCCATGGTGTTAGTCAGCGTTCTCCAGAGAAACAGAACCAATAGGATGGATATACAGAGATATAGAAAAAGATTTACGATGAGGCATTGGCTCCCATGATTATGGACGCTGAGAAGTCCCAGGACCTGCCCTCCGCAAGCTGGAGTAGTTCCAGTTCGCGTCTGAAGGTGCAAGAATCAGAGCATGGATGTCTTAAGGAGGGAAAATATGATGTCAAAGAAGAGCAAATTCGCCCTTCCTCTGCCTTTTTGTTCTATTCAGGTCCTTAACAGATTAAATTATGCCCGCCCATAGTGGTGAGGGCGATCTTCTTTACTCAGTCTACGGATTCAAATGCTAATCTCTTCCAGAAACAGCCTCACAAATACACCTAGAAATAACATTTTACCAGCTATTTGAGCATCCCTTAGCCCAGTCAAGTTGACACTTAAAATTAACCATCACGGTGGCTCACGCCTGTAATCCCAGCACTTCGGGAGGTAGAAGCGGGCAGATCACCGGAGGTCGGGAGTTCCAGACCTGCCTGACCAACATGGTGAAACCCCATCTCTACTAAAAATACAAAATTAGCTGGGCGTGGTGGCGGGTGCCTGTAATCCCAGCTACTCTGGAGGCTGAGGTAGGAGAATTGCTTGAACCCAGAAGACCGAGGTTGCAGTGAGCAGAGATTGTGCCACTGCACTCCAACCTGTGTGACAGATCAAGACTGTCTCAAAAAAAAAAAAAATTAACCATCACAACCATAAACAGAAAATGAAATGGAGGATGTCAGTGAGATATTTAACAGGTAGCTATAATTTTGGCAAGGGATGGATAAGAGAAAGCTTCTCCAAGGAAGTAGCTTTTTTGTTTGTTTTCTGTTTTGAGACGGAATCTCACTCTGTCACCCAGGCTGGAGTGCAGTGGCACGATCTGGGTTCACTGCAACCTCTGCCTCACGGGTTCAAGCCATTCTTCTACCTCAGCCTCTTGAGTAGCTAGGATTACAGGCGCATGCCACCAAATCTGGCTAACTTTTGTATTTTTAGTAGAGACGGGGTTTCACCATGTTGGCCAGTGTGGTCTCACACTCCTGACCTCATGTGATCTGCCTGCCTCGGCCTCCCAAAGTGTTGAGATTACAGGCATGAGCCACTGTGCCCGCCAGGAAGTAGCTTTTAAACTGAGGGAAGGCTGGGCACCACTGGAGGCTCATGCCTGTAATCTCAGCACTTTGGGAGGCCGAGATGGGAGGATCATTTGAGCTCAGGAGTTTGAGACCAGCCTGGGCAACATAGAGAGACTTTGTCTCTACTAAAAATAATAATAATTAAAAAATAGCCCGCTTGGCCGGGTGCGGTGGCTCACGCCTGTATTCCCAACACGGGAGGCCGAGGCAGGCAGATCACAAGGTCAGGAGATCGAGACCATCCTGGCTAACACGGTGAAATCCCGTCTCTACTAAAAATACAAAAAATTAGCCGGACGTAGTGGCAGGCGCCTGTAGTCCCAGCTACTTGGGAGGCTGAGGCAGAAGAATGGTGTGAACCCGGGAGGCGGAGCTTGCAGTGAGCCGAGATCTTGCCACTGTAGCCTGCTTGGTGTTACGGTGGTCCCAGCTACTTCAGGGCTGAGGTGAGAGAATCACTTGAGCCCAGGAGGCTAAGGCTATAGTGAGCTGTGACGGCACCACTGCACTCCAGCCTGGGCAACAGAGTGAGACCCTGTCTCAAAATAAATAAACGGAGGGGAGTTTGTCAGTGGAGAGTTAGGGGAAAGTGATAAGTTGCAGGGAGATGAAACAGTAATGAAAGAGCACTGGCTTGTTAGAGCAACAGAGTAAAGCAAGTGGCTGGAGCCCAGTGACTAAGGGGGACAGAGCTGGGGATGTGGCGAGAGGAGCACTCAGCCCATTCCACAGGCCCTTGTGCCAGGCTCTGTGCTGATGACTTCTTTCCTTTGTCTCTTCTTTCAGCAGCCATCTAAGGTGGGCACTATTTTAGTATTGAGGAAACTGAGGCTATAAAAGGTTAGTAGGCCAGGTGTGGTGGCTCGCACCTGTAATCCCAGCACTTTGGGAGGCCAAGGCAGGCGGATCACATGAGGTCAGGAGTTCGAGACCAGACTGGCCAACATAATGAAACCCCGTCGCTACTAAAAATACAAAAATTAGCCCAGCATGGTGGCCCATGCCTGTAATCCCAGCTCCTTGGGAGGCTAAGGCAGGAGAATCACTTGAACCTGAGAGGTGGAGGTTCCAGTCAGCCAAGGTGGCACCACTACACTCCAACCTGGGCAGCAGAGCAAGACTCCATCTCAAAAAATAATACAAAATAAAAAATAAATAAAAGGCTAAGTAAACATGTCCAGTGTCACACAGCTAAGAAGCAACAGAGCGTGGATTTGCATCCAGACCAGTGTGGCTTCAAAGTCCTTACACTGAGCTGCTATGTTGTTGCCTCCCAGAGAAGAAGTTGAGCTTCCCAGAGGTGAAGGGATTTGCCCTTCATTTCATGGCTTGCTGCAGAGCTGGGACCTCTGCCTCAGAGAGGTCTGCAGATACTGTGAAGGGAGACAGGGCCTAAGAAAGGGGAGAGGGACTGGGAGGGTGGAGAAAAGAAGAGTCCTTCTTGCCCAAGCTGGAACTTAGGGTTTGCTGGGGTAGAAAGATGCAGCAGTTTATAAGTGTCCACTTCTAGGGGTGTGCTGATGGCCAGCAGCCACCGCCCTGAAGACTGTGGGAGGGCTGGCCACTGGGGCAGCCCAGATTAGCTGGATTTTGTGTGCTGTGCCTGTTGCTAAGTAACGCTGCTCCTGCTCTCACCAGCGGAGCCAGCTCTGGTTACCGGTGACAACCCTCAAGGGAGAGTGCCTGGAGAGACATGAGGCAGGCAGGAGGCAACTGAAGGAAGCCAAGCCCTTCCCCACACAGGTTTATCTGGCAGAGGGGTAGGTATTCCTTAGCTCTCTGGTGTTCTGTTGTGTGTGTGTGTGTGTGTGTGTGTGTGGTTTTTGTTTTTGTTTTTTGAGACAGGGTCTCATTCTGTTGCCCAGGCTTGAATGCAGTGATGCAATCATAGCTAATTGCAGCCTCAGCCTCCCCGGCTCAAGTGATCTTCCCACTTTTGCCTCCCAAGTAGCTCTGACTACAGGTGTACGCCACCATGCCTGGCTAATTTTTGTATGTTTTGTAGAGACGGGGTTTCACTATGTTACCCAGACTGGTCTCAAACTCCTGAGCTCAAGCGATCCGCCTGCCTCGGCCTCCCAGAATGTTGGATTACAGGTGTGGGCCACCACACTGGCCATCTTTGGAGTACGTTAGGGGCCTGTTTCCCTTGTGCCTTGGACATGGGGTCAGAATTCCAGGACCCACAGGCCCACAAGGAGGGTGCAAAGGCAAAGGCAAGGGGTCTGCAGGGAATGCTGCTGCAGGGGTTTGGAGAAGAGTTCTGCCCCCACGTCTGAGCACCAAGGAGAGAGGTGGAGTGTGTGTGCATGTGTGTGTCTCTCCCGTCATTGGACAGGCAATCAGTGGTCAGGCAGGTGGGGCAACTCACTCACTTTCCATTGCTCTTTTAGAAAATGTCCCACACTTCTCCAGCTGGGGGCTTCCAACCTGTCAGAGGGTCCTGGAATCAAAATAAACAGGTCCTAGCTCCCTGGGAGTGCCTATTGTGCCTATTCCACTAAAGGATTTGGAGAATAATAGAGAGATAATTTCACTTAAAGCATTAATCTTTTTAGGGAGAACTTGATTTTTGGTCTTTTTTTTTTTTTTGAGATGGAGTCTTGCTCTGTCGCCCAGGCTGGAGTGCAGTGGCATGATCTCGGCTCCACTGCAACCTCCGCCTCCCAGGTATGAGCGATTCTCTGCCTCAGCCTCCCAAGTAGCTGGGATTACAAGTGCCCACCACCACCACCACCACACCCAGCTAATTTTTGTATTTTTAGTACAGATGGGGTTTCACCATCTTGGCCAGGCTGGTCTTGAACTCCTGACCTCGTGATCCACTCACCTCGGCCTCCCAAAGTGCTGGGATTACATGCATGAGCCACTGCAACCGGCCTGGTCTTTTTGTTTTTTAAGCAGGTATCTTTTTTTTTTTTTTTTTTTGAGACGGAGTCTTGCTCTGTCACCAGGCTGGAGTGCAGTGGCTTGATCTCAGCTCACTGCAACCTCCGCCTTCTGGGTTCAAGCAATTCTTCTGCCTCAACCTCCCGAGTTGCTGTGACTACAGGCACCACCATGCCCAGCTAATTTTTGTATTTTTAGTAAAGACAGGGTTTCACCATGTTGGCCAGGATGGTCTTGATCTCTTGACCTCATGATCCACCTGCATCAGCCTCCCAAAGTGCTGGGATTACAGGCGTGAGCCACCGTGCCCGGCCCCTCAAGCAGGTGTCGAGTTGGCATAGCCATAATCATTCATACTTCTCTCTCTCTCTTTTTTTTTTTTCCTTTGAGACAGGGTCTCACTTTGTCACCCAGGCTGGAGTGTAGTGGCACAATCTTGGCTCACTGCAGCCTCAACCTCTTGGACTCAAGTGATCCTTCCACATCAGACTCCCGAGTAGCTGGGACTAAAGGCATATGCCACCACGCCTGGCTAATTTTCGTATTTTTTGTAGAGACAGGATTTCATCATGTTGCCCAGGCTGGTCTCAAACTCCTGGACTTAAGCGATCCTCCCACCTCAGCCTCTAAAAGTGCTAGAATTATAGGTGTGAGCCATTGCACCTGATCAACACAATCGTAATTCTTAACATATGATCACCATATGCTGGGAGAATGCCCTCCTATACTCCTGAGCCTAGCCATGGTACTCTCAGAAGTAAGGGTGCATAGTCCTAGTCCCTGGGGGGGTGTGTGGCTCTGCCCTCTGCAGTGGGCATCAGAGTGTGTGGGTGCCCCCCTGTGTCCAGGGCCACGAGTTCAGTGACAGAGTGGGCTGTGAAACAGGAGGCATGGGGATGTGGGTGGAATGCAGCCCTGTAATGACACCTGCAGTCCCCACGTGCACCCCGAGTTTCTCAGGCTCCTCTTCCTCTTTTCTTGGAGGCCCTTAGCACAGGACCCAGAGCAGCAAAGCTCTCAGCCCTCCCAGTGCTGACTGTCTGCAGAGATCCAAGTACTTGCTCTGGGCAATGCCCTGGCTGCCAGCATCTGGAGGCTGCCAGTGGGCACGGCGTGGCTGGGAGCTGCCTTAGCTGCTCCGGCTTGGGAGAGGGACCATTCCACAGGCGCTCGAACCATAAATGTCCAGACACAGAATCACATGAGAGCCATCCTCAGCGGACCAGGCAGGGCTGCCTCCCAGGGAGAGCTGGGTAACCCGAGCTGCTGGCAGGCCCTCAGGTCACTTCAGGAGCACAGAGTGGTCAGCTGATGCTCCTGGGGACCATTCATCACGTCTCCTAGCCCAGCCAGTACAGCCTCAGCTATTTCCAGGCCTGGGTATGCAGCAGCTTATGTAACTGGCTAGAAGTCGGGGCGGGGCTTAGGGGCACTTGTGGTAGGGATGGGGCTGTTCCTACCTCCCACTGTAAGGCCTGCCCCTCAGTCCCTAGTCTCCCTGTGGAGATTTGTGGGGAGCCCACAGCTCTGGCTAGAATCCCTGTGGACAGCCACTGTGCCTGTCAACACACCCCTCACTTCCTGTCCAGAAGATGCCTGGCCACCTTCCTTCCATGGAGTTGAGGCCACCAAGCAGCCTCTTCCTCAACCCTATCAGCCCTGCCCAGCCTCTGTGCTCTCACCCTCTCTTCCACCCTCAGAGGCAGAGTGGGTATGTCTGCTGCTGCCCCTCTGAGAGAACCTCTGCACATTCCTGAAGCCCTCCCCTAGCTCCTGCAGGCCTAGTCTGGTGGGTGGTAAAGCTGGGCTCAAATACACATATTCTCAGTGTGGCTTGACGCAGGCTTTGTACATCTGCTGAGCTCAGTTTCTTGTTTGGGAAATGAGATGAAAATAATAATATCTCCCTTTTGGTGTGGCTGTGACCGTGGGGCTTTAAGAGCACATTCCAGGAGGCAGATTGCCCAGCCCTGTGTGGCCTTGGGCCAGTCACTTAAGCTGTCTGGGCCTCAGTTTCCTCGTGTAGAACAGGGCAGCGATATGACCTACCTCCCTGAGTTGTTGTGAGGATCCAGTGAGTTTTTATGCATAAAGCACTTAAAGAGTTCCTGGCATGAGGTCAGCACCATGTAAGTGTTGGCTATAATTAGACAATGTTTGGAGATCACTTTCCTCTGCCTTGGCTCCTAATAAGCTCTTGGTGAAAGGTAATTGTTATTTTTAACTTCTTCGTTCTCCTTCACTGTCTTAATTCCCACCTTCATTTAGCCTTGCAATTCCCTTTAAATACTTTATCTTCTCTCCTCTTTTGTTGTCAATCTGCTGTACTACCAATAAAGTATATTTGTCCCATGTTTACATTCATAAAACATTTGCACTCCTGTCCCGACCTCACAGCAAACCCGTGAGCGAGCAGTGTGGCTCATGTCATTGCCCTCATTTTGAGAGCCCGCGACGGGGTGTGATCTGTACAGAAGCATCAGCTGCTCAGCGGTGTGTCCAAGCCACCAGTGAGGGTATTCCGACCTTGGGCACCAGAGCACACCGGGTGATGCACCCAGGGCGTGCCAGCTCAGTGCTGCCAGGGCAGATTAGCGCAGGGGGCCCTCCTGCTTCCGGTCCCAGCTGTGGAGCGCCCACATTATGGGAGGAGAGGCCTATGGGCTTTATAAATATTTCCCGTCCCAGCAGGAGCCCCTGCGGCCCCCAAGTGCTGTGCGGTGGTGCCCTCTGCTGGTAACAGGAGGTACTGCTACCTCTTATAAGGGAGGAAGGCGGATCCCTTCATTTTTGCGTGAAGAGCCAAGGCAGGCTATGTGCCAGGCCCTCTTCTAGGAACCACAGAGGAAAAGAACCTCGGAAAGCCCCGTCCTTTCATGGAGATGACTTCCATGGGAGGGATAAAGACAAAAACATATATAAGAGAACGGCACACAACGAGAAGTAAAATGAAGAAAAACAGAACGGGGTGAGCTGCTAGAGAACGATAGAGGGCGCTAGCGATACGGAACGGCCAGACAGGGCTTCTCCGAGGAGGCGACAAATTAGCAGGCACCTCAGCGAAGCTAGAGAAAGAAAGGCCCCTACCCGGGGAAAGCCCATGGAAACACAGGACGAGTGGGAGGGCGCTGAGATGGGGAAAGTCTGGGTACGCCGGAAGAACAATGAGGCCCATGTGGTTAAGGGCAGTGCCGAAAGAGGCCGGTCGCCGTGGCTCACACCTGTAATCCCAGCAGTTTGGGAGACCGAGGCAGGTGGATCACCTGAGATCAGGAGTTCGAGACCAGCCTGGCTAACATGGCGAAACCCCATTTCTACTAAAAATATAACAAATTAGCCGGGTGTGGTGGCAGGCGCCTGTAATCCCAGCTACTCGGGAGGCTGAGGCAGGAGAATCATTTGAACGTGGGGCGGAAGTTGCAGAGAGGCGAGGTTGTGCCATTGCACTCCAGCCTGGGCAGAGCGAGGCTCTGTCAAAAAAAAAAAAAAAAAAAAAAAAAAAGCAGCGAGCAGTGAGCAAGGTCCGAGAGACGGAGGCCTCCAGCTCCTTCCTTACCACGTGGTGCATGAAGAAGGCTGAGCTCCTGCAGGCTCAGGAAGCAAAAGGAGAGGCCTAACCAGCATGCACTGGGCTGTGTGCAGGGCTTCACCGCTGCCTGTGAAGTGGGTATTCCTGTCATTACCACCATTTTGCAGAAGAGAAAACTGAGGCTGAGGAAGGTAGAGCTTGTGTGGTTTGCTCAAGGGTGGAAATACAAAGTCACAGAGCAAGGCCCTAAATCCAGGTTTGTCTGTCTCTAGTTTTTTGGTTGTTTCTTTTTTCTCTCTCTTTCTTTCTTTTTTTCTTTCTTTCTTGTGACAGGATCTCACTCTGTCACCCAGGCTGGAGTGCAGTGGCCAGTGGCACAATCACGGCTCACTGCAGCCTGGAACTCCAGGATTCAAGCGAGCCTCCCATCTCAGCCTCTCGAGTAGCTGGGACTAGAGACATCAGATCATTTTTGTTGTTGTTGTTGTTGTTGAGAGGGAGTCTCGCTCTGTCCCCCAGGCTGGAGTGCAGTGGTGAGATCTCGGCTCACAGCAAGCTCTGCCTACCAGGTTCACACCATTCTCCTGCCTCAGCCTCCCGAGTGGCTGGGACTACAGGCGCCCGCCACCACGCCCGGCTAATTTTTTGTATTTTTAGTAGAGACGGGGTTTCACTGTGTTAGCCAGGATGGTCTTTGTCTTCTGACCTCGTGATCTGACCGCCTCTGACTCCCAAAGTGCTGGGATTACAGGTGTGAGCCACCGCGCCCGACCGACACTCAAATCATTTAAAAAAATTTTTTTGTAGAGACGAGGTGTTGCTATGTTGCTTAGGATGGTCTTGAACTTCTGCTCAAGAGATCCTCTGGCCTTGGCCTCCCAAAGTGCTGGTGAGCCACCTCTCTGGCCGAATCCGGACTTTTAACCATAAGTTAAGCACTTGGAGAGACAGAAAAAAAAAGGCAGTACAGAACAGCAGAACAGCACGTAGAGAATGGCCACGATTGTATTAAAATACATATATGTATATTTTATACCCAGAAAAAAGGCTGAAGGCAGTCCACCACATGTGATAATCTCTGGAGGTGACTTATGCTCTCCTTCAACTGTGGGGCTGGAGCAGAGAGAAGGATGGTCGTCACCCCCGCAGAAGGCAAGAGACTACCCTTAGCGTTGATAACAACCATACCTCACACTCACAGGCTCCTTTGCGGTTACAAAGTGTCCTTCTTCACTGCTGAGCGTTTGCTCCTCACCACAGCCATTTCACAGGAAAGGAAGCTAAGCCTCAGAGAGGCTGCGACTCTCTCTCAGACAGCCCGTGGCATGGCTGGGGCCAGGACGGACCTCTGCACGTTCCGAGTCCTGCAGGCGCATGTCCTGGAGAGAGGGGAGCTGGCAGAGAGGTCCAGGTGGGTCTGGGAGCAGGGCCGGGGGCGGGGTGACGAGTGTGGCAGTTCCCGAGTCTGCCGACAGAGGGCGCCGCCGCCCCGCAAGTCGGCCGGGCCACGCCCCCTACCGGGACCCGCCCCTTTGCAGCGGGGAACCACAGCACCCAGTGAGGAGCGGCTCGGCGGGCTGGGGTTCGAGGCCTTGGGGATGGGAGGGCGGTGGACTGGCTGGGCCGGGGCAGGAGGAGCAGCAGCAGGGGATGGGCTGGGCCAGAGCAGAAGGAGGAGCCGCAGGGGAGGTCACCGGCGGGCGGAGGTTTGCGTGGGTAAGAGGTTGAGCGTCTCCGTGGGTGAGGGGTTGAGCGTGCAGATGCGCCCGCGTCTGCGGCTGGGAGCGCGAGATGGAGGCGGGGTGGGGGCGGGCTAGTGCGAGGGGAAGGTCCCGGCGTGGCGGGCGGCGGTGCGCTATGGCGCCGGGACTTCCTGAGGCGGCGGGACTAGCTGCCTTGGGAGGCGGTTACTCACTCCGGCGCTGCCGCTTGCTTCCTTCCCAGATCCCAGCAAAGCACAACCCCGAGGCCCCCTCTGCGCTCCCACCCGAATCGCGGCGGCGGCACGCCCAGGAGGGAGCTGGCCTCTGCAACTCAACCCACAGCCTCCCGGCCCCGGGGCGGGAGAGGGTGGAGAGGGAGGGCGGCGCCCGGCGGACTCCACCCGAGCAGCACCGCCAGCCCCCAACTGCTGCAGTCTAGCCCAGGCCTTGAAGGCCAGTCTGCAGCCTCTTGAGCAGCGCGTGGGGCTCCAACCCCCAGCACCTCCACCTGTCCCATGTCTCCGAGCTGAGCCCCAACTCTAGTATAGACGGGAACCCGTGAAGAGCAGCCTCCGGCAGGGATCCCCCTCCGGCTGTGCGCCCCAGCCCCGCCTCCTCTCCCCCCACCTCGCCCCTGAGCACTGGCGACACCCAGCCAGCCGGCAGGGGCTGGACACTGTGTTGAGCCCCGCCCCCATCTCCTCCCTCGCCCCCACCCATACCCCCTCCAACCAAGGCGAGGACGCAGATGTGTCAGCTAGGATCCCTGCCCTCTAACAGCTCCCAGTCTCTAGGGATACGGCCACCATCCATACCAAAGCTTACACCAGGAAGCAGAAAGTGGTTCCGGGCCAGTGGGAGGCACAGGTCCTTAACTCCCCAAGAAGACACAGCCTCAGGGGACCGAGTTCGGCCAGTATTTAGAGCCCTAAGGATCTGTGTGGGAGGAAGCTCAGAGGTCTCCAGAATCATCTTGAGTCAGCATCCTTTCAATACTCACTGAGCACCTAGGGTGCTTTAAAAATACCAACGCCCCAGCCCACCCTAGAACTCCTGGATCAGAATCTCAAGGGAACCAGGAGCGGTGCCTCACACCTGTAATCCCAGCACTTTGGGAGGTCGAGTTAGGAGAATTGCTTGAGCCCAGGAGTTTGAGACCAGCCTGGACAACATGGCAAAACCTCTTTCTACAAAAAATACAAAAATTAGCCTGGCGTGGTGGCACAGGCCTGTAGTCCCAGCTACTCTGAACACTGAGGTGGGAGGATCGCTTAAACCCAGGAGATTGAGGCTTCGGTGAGCTATGATTATACCACTGCACTCCAGGTTGGACCACACATCAAGACCCTGTTTCTTTTTTTTTCTCTTGAGACAGAGTCTCCCTCTGTTGCCCAGGCTGGAGTGCAGTGTCCCAGTCTCTGCTTGCTGCTACCTCCACCTCCCAGGTTCAAGCGATTCTCCTGTCTCAGCCTTCCCAGTAGCTGGGTTTACAGGCATGTGCCACCACACCTGGCTAATTTATATATTTTTAGTACAGACTGGGTTTCACCGTGTTGGTCAGGCTGGTCTTGAACTCCTGACCTCAAGTGATCCCAGCCTCCCAGAGTGCTGGGATTACAGGCGTGAGCCACCGCACCCAGCTGACCCTGTTTCAAAAAACAAAAAACAGAAAAGAATTGCAAGGGGGAGGAGAAGGGAAAAAAGAATGGCAAGGGTAGGAGTACAGCCCTATCTGCTGTTAAATGTTCCCCACCCTACTGACTGCTGTAGCTGCCAACCACTGGTCTTGCCTTATTTACCCAGAGACCACACTCCTCAGAGACAGTGGCTCGTGCCAAGCCCTCAATTAGAGTGAGATTTGGGGGGCTCCAGAAGAAGCTATGTATGCTGGGACCTGGGTGAGCTGTCACTCTGTGGGTTGCTGAGTGGACCAGATCAACTGTGAGACACTAAAGGCTAAGTGATTTTTTAGGGGAGCAACTGGGAAAGAGACCCAGAGGCAGTATTTGCATTTTTACTTTTTGCATAAATTTGTGTGTTCTCCCCACAAAGGCCAACTGCAAGATGGAAGGATCACTGAAGCTTAGGAGGTATCCCTGAAAGCAAAAATTCATGTGTCTTAGGCAACCTGGTGGTCTCCTGCTCCTGGGAGGTCCCCATATTGATTGCATGCAAGACCCATCTCTAAAAATAAAAATAAAATATAAATAAATAATAAAAACACTCTTGCATCCTACAGTTGAAAAGTATGTTTCCTCTCCGCTATCAACCCCAGTCCATGAGCTTTCATACCACACAGGGTTCTCTGTGCAGAGAAGATCTGTTGGTTGGAGTCATTTAGTTATTTAGGTAGATGTTCTGAACTCAACTGCTCATTCATTCATGCAGACGTACCTGCCTTCGATCAGTGCTGGTGTGAGATGGGGTTCACTCCCTTGGGAGCCCACAATCTGGGTGGTGGGGTGAGGAGAGGCCCTGGGGACCAGAAGCGTTGGGAGGGTGTCTGAACACTTCAGATAAATGGTTATGGGGTTCAGGGGAGGCTCCACTTTGTACGAGCCTGCAGCAGGCTGAGGAAGGGCTGAAGAGGTGGGCTCTAAGGAGAGAGGGAGGCTGCTCCCAGCGGTTGGCTGATGGGAGAGCCCTGCTCTGTCTCCCTCTCCACCTGGTATGGTCCGGGCTCCGAGAGGCGCAGTGTTCCGGGGTCCCCACCAGGGGTCAGCACACCGCTGCACTCTGGCTGTTTTACTCTCTTGGGTTCCCCTGGCCCCTCCACAGCCCCCGGCTTCCTTTCTGTCTCACTTCTCTGAGCCCATCACTCCCCAGTTACGGTACCCCTGGGTTTCTCTTGGGTTACTCTCCTGGGTTCCCCTGGCCCCTCCACAGCCCCCGGCTTCCTTTCTGTCTCACTTCTCTGAGCCCATCACTCCCCAGTTACGGTCATTTCATCCAGACCCGTCAGTGCAGGACCAGGCAGCCTCCCAGCCAGCCAGCCTGACGTCTCTCCTGAGCTGGGGAATCCCACAGCCTCCCTCACTTCCCAGCCGCATGAGCTCCGGCTGGGCAGCAGAAAGGGCCTCCTGCTGTCCTGCTGCTGCTGCCATTCAGCGCAAGGTCTCTGGTTTGGTTTCCAGGGGAAATGGGAGGGTTCGGAGGTTCACTCCTTCTAATAAGTTTTCCCACATGTGTTAGCAAAGCTCTTCTTCAAGCCCTCCTCCCCTGTTTTGTGGACTCCAAGTCTCCAGAGCCCCGCTCTGCTCCCCTTAGGCGGGACTGCTCTTCCTCCCTTCAGCACAACACCCGCATGCGTGGAACCGAGAGCTCTCTGGGCTGGCCCCTCCTCTTACTGCTCCCTGGCAAACCTCGGACCTACTCTTTCAGGTCCTACCTCTCATATACCCACCACGCCAACACCTCTTTTTCCACAGGTGAGGCCCCAAGCCTGAGAGGCTCAGCTCATTCTTCACCATCTCTTCCACCCTGTCCTCACACCTCTTCCTCCAGGAAGACTTCCTTCTCACCACCCTAAGCTGTAGAGACAAACAGGCATGAGAGCATCCTGGCCTTGCCAGGCGCTAGCTATGCTGCCTTCACCTAATTCTCAGTCTCTTTATCTGTCAAATAGAGTGATACACAGCTTTCAGATGTACTGTGAGGTCTCAGTAAGGTAATGGATGTGGAAGTGTTAGCCCAGCACATAGCGACACAGAAGTCACCTATCTTTTTCTATTTTTTCTCTTTTGAGACGGAGTCTCTCTCTGTTGCCCAGGCTGGAGTGCAGCGGTGCTATCTTGGTTCACGGCAACCTCCGCCTCCCAGGTTCACACAATTCTTTTGCCTCAGCCTCCCGAGTAGCTGGGATTACAGGCACCCACCACCATGCCTGGCTAATTTTTGTATTTTTAGAAGAGATGGTGTTTCGCCATGTTGGCCAGGCTGGTCTTGAACTGTTGACCTCAGGTGATCCACCTGCCTCAGCCTCCCAAAGTGCTGGGATTACAGGCATGAACCACTGCACCCGGCCACCTATTCTTTTCTTGTAGTGCAGCTGCCACCCCCACTGCCCACCCCCAGCCTGATGATGGGAACCTGCCCTTGCTAGGTGCACTGGCTGCTTCTGCAGGGCTCTGTGGGGACCTCAGACCAGAACCCTATCAGCAGGGCCATGTCCCTCCCCTGACCATGCAAGAAGCCTGGAGTGGAGGCCTCTGTCCTCCCCTGGAATTGTTGGGAGCCCCTTCTGGCCTAGCATGGGGGAGGGGCTCCCACAGAGTTCCCTGAGGCTTAAAGGAGCAGAAGGCTGGTGGGAGGTGAAGGAGGGGTGGCAGGGCAGGGGGAATACCGACCACACAGTATTCTGAGTCCCTGCTCCTTTTCCCATCCACCCCCACCCCCTCCGCCAAACACGATCCCTGGGTTAATTTTTAGCATCGCAGCTCGCACATTAGTCACTCCCTGTCACCCACCTACACGGCAGGAGGCTGCTGTGCTGGTGCCGTCATCCCATCAGCTGAGAGGTGGGATCTAGCCCCGCCCTGGGCACCCCTCACCCTCCCCTACGAACTCACGGCTGGCCAGGAGTCCCCATCAGCCTGGGTGAGGGGGCACCGACATCACTCCTGGGACTAGCTACATGGCAGGGGGCAGGGACAGACTGATGGCCAAGGGACTTGGAATCTACTCGGGGGAGAATCTAGGGAGGCCCCTGCAGCCTTCCACCCCCTGTAAGGTGCCAGGCTATGCCCAGGCAGTTGGTATCCTGGCAGCCTTGGGATCTGGGAACAAAGGTGTCAGGGGGCCCCTCCCCTAGACCTGAGCCTCTGGGAGCCAATGTTTGTCATCGCCACAGAGCAGCTGTTCAAACAGGGAGCTTGGGGCAGCTCCATTTTCTTAATCAAATGTCCTCTCTTCCTGGGACTGGGGAGGACAGGGTGGCCAGGTGCAGGCGCTCTTGCTGGGGCTGCCACCCAGCCCCAAAGGGATTTTGAGAGAAGGGCCTACAGATGCCAGCTACAGATGGAGCAGAAGAGGGGACATCTCACCCAGCCCCTGGGGCTCAGAGGTGGGGAGGTGGTGGTTACCCCAGGCAGGGTTGGCCCCAAGGAGGCATTCACTCATCGGCATGAGGTAATAGAGCCCCTCCGAGCCCCTCCTGTGTGCCAGGCTCTGTTAGGCCCTGGAGGTGCAACTTCAAACAAGGCTGGGTTCCTGCCCTCACAAAGGCAAGACAGAAACAAAAGAAGTCAGTGCGATTCCCAATTGGGAGAAAATGCTATGAAGTAAAAAAGAAAATAGACGGGCGTGGTGG